ACATGTACATGGGTATATACAGTCTGTGTGTATATAGTGTAATAATAGCAACAGGAGTATGTTGAGAGGAGCTATTTTGGTGAGGGAGTGGCGTCGTAATCGTAGCGTTGTCTGCTGGCTGCTGTGTGATTTCTCATGCAGTGTATGGGGGCCACTGTGCTGTTTGGTCACAATACCGGCTTACTTGCATAGTTATGGTGAATAGAACATGTAGATATGTATACATAACGTGTGTAAAAGGTGTAATAAAATCAATAACAGTATGGTGGGAGGAGCAATGTCAGCGAGTAAGATGTTGGAGTAAGGGAGGGCTGGCTGGGTGTGGCTGCTCACACTTGCGGTGTTCTGAATGTGTTGATGGTGTATGTATTTAGTGTGTGACAATGTATAGTGTGTACATATGTTGTAAATATACATAAATGAACATGAAACATTGGTGTGAATAACTGTATGATGGGAGGGGCAATGTTGGCGAATACAATGTTGGAAGAGTGAGGGAGAGCTGGCTGGGCGTGACAGCTCTCACTCGCGGTGTTCTGAATGTGTTGATGGTGAATGTATATAGTGTGTGACAGTGTATAGTCTGTAAATAGATTGTATATATACATAAATTAGCATGATACATGGTAAATATATGCAACATGTGTACACAAGTGTTATGCATGTAACACAGTGTCTTCGGACAGTACGGATGTTTTACTGCCATAATATAGTGTACGTGTTCATTATACATAGGATTAGCACATAAAAATAAATAAAATGTATTTGGAACTGTGCACAAAAAATGAACAAAAATATATTCGCGGCAACTCGCATACCCCGCCCCAGGCGCCCTACTGGCCCCGGGAGAGTACATCACGGGCATACGGGGAATGAAGACGTCATGCACCAACTTACGGACCCCATAGCAGCCAAAGTAAGTACAATTTCGATTTTTTTTTTACATACTCATACTGAGGGAAGGGTTTTTGACACTTTAAAAAAATAAAAGAATTTTTTCCAGAAAATTTTTTCCGGTGCACTAGGGGGGGGGGTGTCATATTTGGAACCCGAGCAGTTAAGGGGTTAATGAGGAAGGGACATTCTCTACTGCCTCCTCTTCCTCCCCTGAAGATTTGTTGTACTGCCTAGCTAGTTCAACAACACGAGTACCATTTTCATGCTTACGAATGATCTCTTGTTTTTTCTCCGTGGTCATTCTCACATGTGATTTCTTGCCTTGAACCTTACCACTGGCTTTCTTGGGACCCATGGCAAGATATATAATAACAACTTTTATGCTCAAATGGCCAAAAATCCGACAAAAAACTGTAAATTCTTATGAAGAATTCAGGCGGGATAGTCACTGGGCACAAAGCACTGGTAAACTGAGGCACAATCACAGTGCCACCACGCGCTAGGTCGGCCCGTACGTACAAACTCGTAACTTGATGCAATGCTCATATCCCGATGCAAATTTCCGAACAAATCGAGCTTGTAACCCGAAAAACTCATAAACAGGGACACTCGTAACCTGAGATTCCACTGTACTATATTTGAAGAATCTGATGACTGTAAACAGTGGAGAGAGTGGAAGTAGGCTAGAGGGACAGAGGATTGGGGTGAAAGTTTGAAATACGATGAATAGGTTAGGTTAAAGTGGGAAAGATTTCTGGTATAGATGGAATAATAGCAGCTATGTTGGGGTATGGGGTGAGATGACGGACACGTTAGCTGTACTGTAAGTCGGATGGTATGGCAGAGGTGCGATGTATCAGATGATCAGACTAAGGCCATTAGGGTACCTACATATTAGGTAAAAGGTAGCTGAGCATGCATGTGAGTAGGGAGAAAAGTAGCATGGACACATCATAAGAAAGACATACTTTCTGTAGAGAAAGTTAAACACTGAGCAACAAAATTCATTCCAGAACTAAGTCAACACTTATATCAAGAACAGTTGAGGGCCACAGAGCTAACAATACTGCAAACCAGGCATGACAGGGCGGATCTTATCAAAACTTTTAAAATACTGAACAATTTGGAGGATGTTGATAAATACAAATTCTTCAAAAGGTCAGATGTAACACAAACAAGGAGCAACAGTTTCAGGCCCAACATGTCACAATGTAGGAATGAGGACAGGAGATTCTTTTTCACCCACAGGGTTATTAACCCATGGAGCCGCCTACCTGATAAAACCATAAATGTCAAAACTCTGTTGAACTTTAAAATCCAGCTTGAAAAATTTATCCTGACAAATTGACAAACGGGGGACCTTTTGACAAGCCACTGGCTTCCTGTCCTCATCGAGGTCACTATAGTGTTAGTGGCCCTCAGGTAAATTCAGGTAAATATAAATGCTGTGAGTTGCATTCTGGGAAAATCAGTTGTTGGCCTAGAGGTGACTTAAGCCTAACAGGCATCCTGTCCCTAAAATGGGATACAGTATATGAATGAGTTAGCAAGGGACAGGCAAGAACAGATGGAGTGGGAGTTGATTCTGATGGAAATAAGTTGTTATTGACATGTTTTTCTGGGAGGGACATCTCAGTACCTCCGCGAATTTAACTTTGGTACTGTAGCACCAAGCTTTGGCCCAAAATGCCTAACCTCTGAGGCCATCCGTCACCTTGCAGGAGCCAGGGCCAGAATTTGGCGCTCTCATTGAGACAAGAGAAGCTGGGAATTGGTAGCCAACCATAAAACTGGAAAAATTCGCCAGGAAGTATGGGTGCAGCAAAACAAACGATTACTTTAAAAAATTTAACACCCCCTAGGTAAGCTAGACAAATGGTTGGTTGTGTGTAGTAAATGCCCTAACTTTGCAATGCATGACCACCACCAGATGACAGCTCAGATCACCTGTGGTCTTGGCCAGTCCGTGTTCTCACCCTTTCCCCTAGTGCAACCTGTCCAACGCCTGTAGCGTCTGCTGAACCCATAGTTGGCTTCTAACTTTCAGCTAAGCGATTTTGGCTTTCTCTGAAATTTTGTTACAAGAGCTTTTTTTTATGAGTTTTTGTTTTATCTTAATTATTATATTGCTGTATGTTTCATTCTTTTTGTATAATAGTGGTGGAATAGTTTGCTCCATTTCCCTCTGGGACTGAAACCTGATGTTGGACTCGCTTTTGGCTGCTTCTCCTCAGTATGGTTCCCAGTTGAGGCATGTCAGTTGCTCTTACAGTCGCTCTCTTATTTCTGTTCTTCATATGTTTTGTTTTGGAACATACTCTTTTGTAATGGAGCATATTTTTTCTCCGTTTCAATTTTATAATTTTCATTATTCCTCTTGTGCTTAAGACTCTTTGTGTTGTGTATCATCTACTTTTTCCTGTGGTTGTGGTAATTACCTTAGTGTAGTTACAGGATGAAAGCTATGCTCATGGTGCAGCATTCTTTGTGTTACTCTATGGGTAACCTAATGTTACTCAGGGTAACTATGGTAGTTACTCTGAGTTACTCTATGGTAGTAGGGGGCCTGGCGACTGAGTGGACAACGCTCGGGATTTATAGTTCTAAGGTTCCGGGTTCGATCCCCTGGCAGAGGCGGAAACAAATGGGCAGAGTTTCCTTTACCCTAATGCACCTGTTCACCTTGCAGTAAATAGGTACCTGGTAGTTAGACAGCTGATACGGGCTCCTTCTTGGGGGTGTGTAACAAATAGTAGGCCTGGTCAAGGACTGGGCCGCAGGGATGCTAAGCTCCGAAATCATCTCAAGAAAACCTCAAGATAAGATACCTTCTTCATTCCTTGTCTCTGGACCCATCCTCCAAGCTCGTCTATTGGGTGGCGTAATGCAGCATGTCGGCCATCTCTCCTTTCACTCCTGATGTGCACAAGTTTACGTTTTTTGGGGATCTTCTCTGGGCTTGGGGCTTGGGGATTGTGATGGGTCCATTTAGGTGTCAGCCTTGTGTTCCTTGTTGAGTCTCCCTTGGCCTTATCTTGACAATATTGGACTAATTTGGCATTTGTTACAAAATTGCCATTCTTTTGCCCTGGGCCACTCTCTTTTGTGTTTGCCACTCTTCGTTGGGAGATAAGCATGGGATACAGTATATGGAAGGTTCCCTTCCCTTCCCTTCCCAGAAATCAAGTATTGAAAGGGAACATCCTTCTTTGGTAGGCTTCCCCAGTAGCTGCCTGTTCAAGGGAACACCCTTCTTTGGTAGGCTTCCCCAGTAGCTGCCTGTTCAAGGGAACACCCTTCTTTGGTAGGCTTCCCCAGTAGCTGCCTGTTCAAGGGAACACCCTTCTTTGGTAGGCTTCCCCAGTAGCTGCCTGTTCAAGGGAACACCCTTCTTTGGTAGGCTTCCCCAGTAGCTGCCTGTTCAAGGGAACACCCTTCTTTGGTAGGCTTCCCCAGTAGCTGCCTGTTCAAGGGAACACCCTTCTTTGGTAGGCTTCCCCAGTAGCTGCCTGTTCAAGGGAATACCCTTCTTTGGTAGGCTTCCCCAGTAGCTGCCTGTTCCCTGTTTATCGGAGGGTTCCTCGTTTTCTTCAAACAGTCATTTATTTTGCTGTGTCTATGCTTTTTGATGGATTTGACCCCAGTTATATGTTGATCTCTGTCCCCTGTGCTCCCCCTCACCTTGTAAAGCTGGCTCGATTGTGGTCCTGGTTCCCAGTAGGTAATGACGGTTTCAGAGGACTCTTGTGGGATCTAAGGTTAAGCTTTTCTGGTGTATAATAAGCATGAAAAACTACTGTTAGGATGTTGGGGGGGGGGGACCAGGGAGGATAGGTCCATTAGAAACGGGCATTTCATTGTATTGACAGCTTGTTTTATTGCACCTCTGGGCCTATTCATCATAATTTGCTCATGATTAGTATTACAGATATGATGCAGAACGTAAACATAGACCATCCAATTATGTGATTTGGCCAGATATATATGTACCTGTTCACAACAGTGGACCCAATAAAAAAAAAGAAGCTGGTGGTACAGGAATCAATTATCAAGATGACTTTGCCTGCTCAACAAAAGTCATGGATTCTTTACTGTATTTCCAGAGCCTGCTGCTGGTGGCGATAATGATACAGAGGATAACAAATACACAGTTTGGTCAGCAAGATGCTCATATCTTCAGCATGGGCCTGTTGGTGGCCGGACTCATCATCACGCCCATCCTGCTGATCTGCTACATTGTTGACAAGAGTATAACCAGATCCTCTCTGCTTGTGAGTCAATGTTTACTGATTTCTATTGTGTTCTGTAATTATCCTCTTGTTGCCTCTTATATTAACCTCCCCATGTTGGACATTTAACTAATGTACTCCATTGCATTCCATTCCATTTTGCACATGCTGGTCATCTACCGATTGCTTTGTACTTTAACGTTGGATATACTGTACTGTAATTATATACGCTTCGCGAGCTTTGTGCGTCACAAGTGCTTTGGCCTGGGGTCGTATCCTGGCCAGGGAGGATTGACTAGGCACCAATCCTTAACTGTAGCAAGCAGGTTGGCAGGTAGGAGGCATGCAAGCAGGTTGGCAGGTAGGAGGCATGCAAGCAGGTTGGCAGGTAGGAGGCATGCAAGCAGGTTGGCAGGTAGGAGGCATGCAAGCAGGTTGGCAGGTAGGAGGTATGCAAGCATGTTGGCAGGTAGGAGGCATGCAAACAGGTTGGCAGTTAGGAGGCATGCAAGCAGGTTGGCAGGTAGGAGACATGCAAGCATGTTGGCAGGTAGGAGGCATGCAAGCATGTTGGCAGGTAAGAGGCATGCAAGCAGGTTGGTTGGCAGGTAAGAGGCATGCAAGCAGGTTGGTTGGCAGGTAAGAGGCATGCAAGCAGGTTGGCAGGTAGGAGGCATGCAAGCAGGTTGGCAGGTAGGAGGCGTGCAAGCAGGTTGGCAGGTAGGAGGCATGCAAGCATGTTGGCAGGTAGGAGGCATGCAAGCATGTTGGCAGGTAGGAGGCATGCAAGCAGGTACGGTAAGGTAAGGCATACAGGAGAAAGCTCCATAATTTAACGACCTCTTTTATACCGATCTGCCAGTATTAACGACCGGTTTGGGAGATCGGTATCTGGAGCCTCATATACCGGTCTGGTGGTCGATATTACCGACGGTCGGTATTGAGTTTGTTTTGGCATCGGCAGCCTCTCACATGGCGACCAGGCGATCATCCAGAGTGGTATATTAAATCTTAACTTTCTTTTAAAATGATTCAGTTTTATGAAGAAAATTCTAAATTATTATTAATAAAATATTTTAAAACAATTGTTATTAAGAAAATTCTTTGTTTTCTTATTAGATACCTTTTATAGTATAGGCAATAGGTATTTTTTTTCCCACGGACCTAGAATGTACTGCGCCTGGCCATGTGACCGCATTGTTTACTGTCAACTCGTGCAGCTGAGAGCAATGTCTCAGAATATTAGCCAGAGAAAATCAGATTCAGAAAAAAATAGATAAATTCATGATTTCAACGGTTCGTGAAAGCACCCACTGGGAAGTCAACAAGTCATGCAGCATCCGCTGGCAACGAGTGCCCTACAAGCTATACTGCACCCGCCAATGCTGAATTCCCATCGACAAGCTGTGCAGCCTTCGCCGGCAACGAATACTCTGCAAGCTCTGCTGCACCTGCCGATGCTGAATTCCCATCGACAAGTTGTGCAGCCTCCGCCGGCAATGAATGCTCTGCAAGCTATGCCTCACCCGCCGATGCTGAATTCCCATCGACAAGTCATGGAGCAACCGCCAGCAACGAATGACTGCTCTGCAAGCCATGTTGCACCCGCTGATGCTGAATTCCCATCAAAAGTCGTGCAGCCTCCACTAACGATATAAAATATGATTGAAAGGCATATAAATTAGCGTAAAAAGTGTTGACAGAGTACAGTATTGTAAGTGTTAATGATTATTTAAGCCTCGACAAAAAGATACTGTACAGTGTAAATATACAGTAGAAATAATTTTCAATTGTGAATTAGAATTAGAACTCATGTGAATTAGTAGTAAGACTACCTGTTGTGTGAAGTGAATGCCTGAAAATAAGTGTACATACTGTATGTACCCTGTATATAGTCCTGAACAATATAAAACAAGCGCTGTAGAGGATGACGGAATCTTCACAGCTTCATTAAAAGTAAGTCAATTTACCAATTTTATTATAGTATTTCAACATATTATTTTTTTTTTCAACAAAAACTACATATTAATCTCTGCAAATGTATATTCTATCATTAGCAGAGAAAAGGTGAGCTCAAAATATTTCGTCTTGGCTAGCTCTCAGTGACAAGATTCGATCGCCATTGTTATGGCCTGGTCGCCACAGCCTGTGTCATAACATTAAAAATACATTACCTGCACTGTTCAGGGTAAAACAAAACACATCTCTAAAATTTTATTAAGAAAATATTAACAATCACTGATTGATACATGAAATATTTTGCAATACAAAGGAATGAACCAATTTTTTCCCACCCATCTGGACTTGATCAGACCGTGTTCACACATCATCCATGCAGCAGCCACCAGCTGGCTTAATCGTCCGCGTGGCACTAAATTGGAACGCAATTACACAATGAACTTTATTTAATTTTAGTTATACAGTATAAAATATATCCTACCTGAATGTAACTTGAAAAATTACCCGACCCAACTTAACTTCGGAAATAACGGAGCTCCGGAAATAACGACCAGGGTACAGCCCCATATAGGCCGTTAAATTGAGTGGATACTACTTATTTTGTCCAGGTCTTCTTGAAGGGCATGACAATCATCTAAATTTCTTATCCTTCCTATTATCTTAGCATCATCAGCAAACATGTTCATATAATTCTGTATACCAACTGGTAGATCATTTATGTACACAATAAACATCACTGGTGCAAGAACTGAACCCTGTGGTACTCCACTTGTGACATTTCTCCATTCCGATACATTGCCTCTGATTACTGCCCTCATTTTTCTATCAGTCAGAATATTTTTCATCCATGATAGAAGCTTACCTGTCACCCCTCCAATATTTTCCAGTTTCCAGAACAACCTCTTATGTGGAACTCTGTCGAAAGCCTTTTTTAGGTCCAGATAGATGCAGTCAACCCAACCATCTCTTTCCTGTAATATCTCTGTGGCTCGATCATAGAAACTGAGTAAATTCGATACACAGGATCTTCCAGATCGAAAACCATACTGTCTGTCTGATATTATATCATTTCTCTCTAGGTGTTCTACCCATTTAGTTTTGATTAGTTTTTCCAATACTTTCACTATTACACTTGTCAATGATACAGGTCTATAATTGAGGGGGTCTTCCCTGCTGCCACTTTTGTAGATTGGAACTATGTTAGCCTGTTTCCACACGTCTGCTACGATTCCTGTACACAGGGATGCCTGAAAGATCAGGTGAAGTGGAATGCTGAGCTCAGATGCACATTCTCTCAGAACCCATGGTGAAACGCCATCTGGGCCAGCTGCTTTGTTCTTACCGAGCTCCTTGAGCATTTTTTCCACTTCGTCTCTAGACACCTCTATGTGCTCTATGTTGTTCTCTGGAATTCTTATTGTATCTGGTTCCCTAAAGATTTCATTTTGTACAAACACACTTTGGAACTTTTTGTTTAGTGTTTCACACATTTCCTTTTCATTTTCCGTGAATCTATTTCCCATTTTCAACCTCTGAATATTATCCTTTACCTGCAATTTGTTGTTTATGAATTTATAGAATAGACCTGGTTCTGTTTTACATTTGTCTGCAATCCCTTTTTCAAAATTTCTTTCTGCCTCTCTCCTCACTGCCGTGTAGTTGTTTCTCGCATCTTTGTATCGCTGGTATGTTTGGGGGTTCGGCCTCTTCCTGTATTGATTCCATTTTTGTGTCTTTTGGTCTCTAGCCCTCTCGCAATTTCTATTGAACCAATCCTGTTTCCTAGTTCTGCATCTCTGTTTTGGTATAAATTTTTTTGTGCCTTTATCATATACTGTATTTCACAAAACTTGACATACATCTCATTCACTTCCTTGCCTAGCATCAAGTCTGTCCAATTATACTCACTAAAAAAATTTCTAAGGTCACCATAATGTCCTCTCCTGAAGTCTGGTTTTTCAACTGCTTCAACCTCCTTATTTTCTTCCAGCTTATAACGCATTGCATACTTTGTAATTATTTAAGTAACTTTTTAAGTAATTAAATTTAATTAAATTAAATTAAATTAAGCAAATTGTAACTATTTATAATTTAAGTGATATAATACAGCTGCAGACACCAGACATTGTTGCACTCACGGAGACAAAACTTGAAGATGTAATTTTAAATGAGGTCATATTCCCAAGGGGCTACTCAATTTGGAGACGGGACAGAAAAATTAGGAAAGGCGGTGGCGTTGCTGTGCTGGTAAAAGAACACCTAAAGGTGAACGAAATAATGACTGCCAATCCACAAGAAGTTGACATAATAGCACTAGAGATCTGCCATGAGGATGATAAACTAATGATAATAAATGCATATAGTCCACCGCCAAGCAGCACATGGTCAAAGGAGGAGCTAGATAGTAAACGTGAAGGTCTTATAACAATAATGAGAGAGATTATAGCGAGAGCGGATAACGATAGATCACGACTGTTGATAGTCGGTGACTTCAACTTGAAATCCATAGACTGGGAAGCATATGAAGCTAAAACAGAAGATTTTTGGACCTGTAAATTTGTAGACCTCATCCTGGAAACATTCTTGTATCAACATGTTAACCCTTAAAGTGCGCATCACGTCATATGAAGTGTAAATTGTTTTACCAGTCAACTGCGCTTCACGTCATATGACGATTATGGGTACCGCGCACGATTTGAATGGCCCGCGATGTAGCTGGGGGTCCCATACGCTGCCCAGGGGCTATAGTAAACAGCGGCCATTTTGAAAAAAATTCCCGCTCACGAACCGAAGGCATGGGAGGCCTCAGTTTAGCGAGTCACCATGGCGAGCGCACGGTCAAACGCCTCACGGGCACGCACCACTCAATCCCTCACCCCAGAGCAAATACACCCAACGAATTATTCTCTGAAGGTGAAGAAAGTGTGTTTGATGATTCAGACAACGATGAGGATTATACACAGTTGTCGGGTGATAGTAGCAGCAGCAGTGAGAGTGACAATGCTTGCCATGCCATGGCGAGGCCTCTACGCTCACCCATGCCTCCTCGGCCAGTTTCTACCCCAATTCTACCATGACCTCAC